ATCGCGGACGCCAGTCGCAATACTGACGTGCCTAAGGCATAGCTGACGCGGATGCATCTTTTCGAACTGTACTGACGCGAACTCTCGCGGCTTGATTTCAGGATATTAAACCTCACTTGACTGACGCAGCCACAATGGGAACCTTGTTTTGTAAGGTGCAAAGCTAAGCAATCTGCTGTCGCAAAGACCATCGCCGTGGGAATGTTCATATTTTACTGACGCGAACTATCGCGCACACCATAAAATCTGACGCGACCAATCATTACTTTCATGTTTACCTAAAATCCCACATGGGGGGTTTTGGCCGCCGCTCAAGTGACGATCCTAAAGGCATATTATCGGGCGTATGACCGGAAACTTTACCGAATAGTTAATCAACAACATCCAGTAACCAAAAACCAAAAACCAATGAATCCGCAATTCCTTGCCTGCGTGGGGCTTGGAAGATAAAACATCCAACACCGTCAGGGCCCTCGAAAAGTGGTTTTGCTTGAAGAGCTCGAAGTCGAACGGGGTTCTGAGTTTTCCCCCCACGTCTGCCATACTCTCGCCAGAGTTGTTGGCAAAGTGGCCGCCATGAAATGGCGCCACGAACCGGAGTGGTTCTCGGATGGTGTGTCTCGGACGGTGCCATCAGGGTTCCTTGTGGCACGGGGCCACTTGACGCCGGAGTACATGAGCTGTATCTCCGTCACGTTGGCTCGTGTCTGCTGCAGCAAGACTTTGGTTCCGAGTGCTGCAGCGAGCCTTATGAGGATGGCGTTGTCTGCCACCTTCTGGCCACCAAGGCTTTGCGCCACCAGCGAGTCTGTCTTCTTCTTCAAATCCTGGGAGAAAAGGAGCCCCAATGCTCCAAGCTTCACCCTGGGCAGCATGTCCAAGCTTCACCCCGTCAGCGGAGCGCGAGCTGCTTGTCAGCTCTTTGCAGCCCGTGGGTCGAGGATAAGGTTGCCACAGTTGCCACGTGATTTATCCCATGAGTTTTGCATGCTTGCAGGACAGGACCATGGACCGTGGATGCAGCAGCGGTTTTCGAAGCCTGCTTTCTGGATTCAGAATGGGATGAGACATAAGTCTGCTCCTCTCTGAAGATTCCTGATGACATTGTAGGCCGAAGTCCATGGCAATCAGCTGCCAGTGCATAATGGCTCCTAGTCTGTGGAGGTACGCGAAGAAGCTGTCTGTGCTTGCAATGCCTGCCTCAGCATGCAATTATCTCAGTCGCAAGCATCACTCACAGGATCTTGCTTAGCAAATGTAACTGCATCTGACATCAAGTTCTAGTGCAGCGTGAAGTACAAACTCTCTCGAAGAGCATCCAGAAATCGAGCTCTTCGAATCTGCACTTCTCCTTGACGACTACAGTCTGTCTTTGGTCCCAGGCATCCAGCCAAGCATGGGTGCTAGGGTGTTGCGCCATCAGACGCTGAAGTGTGACCAAGATGTGCTCCCGAATCTCAAAGCTCGGTGCGCTGAGACTTACTCACGGCCTCTTCCTAAGCTGTTCTAAAAGGAATCGAGAAAATGCTGTTGTGCGGGCTCCGAAGGCTTTAAGTTCTCAGCTTGCAAGCTCAGCCTCCGTCAAGTAGTTTCTCCACACTGCCCCAGCTCGCCGCAGCCGCACCCGCGCATCGCGGAAGAAGGTCTGAGAAGCAGAGGCTTTGTGTTACTGCCAAGCTGCATCACTCAGCACAGTATCCGTTACTTTGGCTGAGTTGCAACAATTTGAAAGAAGGTACACATGTTCAACTTCGTAGCGCTCGATGCTCAGCCTATGCTGCGCAGACTTATCCCAGCCTGCAGCTTTGCAATGGCATCCTTTTCATCCTGAGCCCATGTACACATTGAAATCACTGTCATCTATCTGACCGAAGTCTAAGGTATATCGGTATGCGTGTCTACCACAATATCGCAAACAAGCACAACACCAATTTCTGGATGGCAAGCCACTCGTCGGAGCGTAACGGCCATCCGCAGATTGGGAGTGATGGCCTCATCCGCCAGAAGCTCCTCCTCAAGACTTCACTGGGAAGACCTTTATTGCACAAAGCGGGACAGCCCACAGAAGGAGAAGGTCGGCTTCAAAAATTGACAGCGAGGAGGTGGCGGGCTCTTGGAATGCTGCAATCAAAGCTCTGCCTTTCTCCAACCTGCTGCAAGAATCCCCTCCATTCCTTTGCGATTTGAAGTGAACCAGTGCCATGAAAATGGCTTTTGACTTTGCTGCAACTCCAAATCAGTGATAAGTGATGACAAAACGAGGGCACATCTGCACGGGCGTCCTCCTCGTCCAAGGTTCCACCGGCGAGGCGGCGCCTGGCAGGGTATCAGCTTCGGGCACTTTGAGTGCAACTCGGATCTGCCCAGCTTTATGAAATCGTGGCTCACCCCAAGACTCTTGCTTGCCATCATCCCTGCTATGCGAACCCAAAATCTCATAGGTGATTTGGTGCGGGCCAGGATTGAACAGCTTGGGCCTTGCCGCCGCCAAGGCGCCTTCGAGGAGATCCAGGGCCTCAATGTCAGATCTGATGAGGTTAACGATTAACGAAACAAATGGCATTCAGACAAATTTACACCAGCACACCAGCTCATGGTACAGTATCTGATGGTATGATGCCCTCATTCTTGAACGGGGAATAACGGGGAAGCACACACAGCCTTCTCCTCTGCAGAGGCTGTATGGACGAAGCAGGAAATGTCCAATCTCCATTCCTGATCCAGGTTGCGCACTGTTGAAGATGTTTCCGTCGCTACTGCGTGACCAGTGTCAGGACGGACCCGCTTCACACCTGCCCAAACCCTCCTGAGGCCGCCTTGGAGAGTGTCAGGAACCTTGTGGAAGATTCAGGCTTCATCGTCTACGCCTATGAAGCCTTTCTTCAAGGACCCCGCTGCGCTTGCAGTCACTGCTCCGGCACTTGACATTTTGACTCCGACGGCCACGCCGCTACTCTGCGTCCACCAGGAACGTAGAAACATCAAAGGGCAACCCTCCATCATGTTGCTGGATGCCATACGGCACAGCTCAAACTTCACATGGAAGCCCTTGTCACCATCACAGTTTTGGGTGGCTCAGGCAGACGTACGGCCAACGGTCTGAGCTAGTTTGAGCTCATTGGGCCACCGGTTAGTAAATTGGACTTCACCAATAGATGGACGCTCAAAGAGCAACTGCCGCAAAGAGATTCCATGGCGAGAAATCCCTTGCTGGTGCACCCTTGTCACTTCGTCCATGCACGGGTGATACCAACCTCTTGGTTACCGTCGAGCGTTTGATTTCCGGCCAGGCAGCAATGCAAAGTGCTAGAGTACCGATGATCTGTGCTTAGAGGTTCGGTGACTAGTGCTCTGCAATGCAAAGATGACTGTCAAAACCCTCCAGCTTCCTTGCGCTGCTTGTTTACTGTCACCCTGCAATTGCGCTCATACAGGACTGCTTTATTCAATCATGATTAAGGCATATTACAGGTCCCCTGGCCCGAAGGCAAGGCTGCAGCCGTGAAAATTGTTTACATATGTTTACATCACATCGCAGCAAACGGTATCGGTGGCTGCCTTCTCGCGCAAGTCGACAAGCTTGGTAACCAACTCTCTAAGCTGAGACGCCTGACTGGTGTTGGCGATCCACTCTTCCGGAATCGTTAGGTCCGTACCGATGGAGCCATAGCACGCCCCGGCAAGGGTGGCTCGGCTGACGGTGCACCCTCCAGTAACAATGCTGGCCTCGACAGCCTGCTTGTAGTCAGGTTCCTGCGCGCAGTGCAGTGGTAAAATCATCGATTGTGGCAAAGATCAGGCAAGGCCAGCAAAGGGAAACCCAGCAGACTCTGGCTTCAGCTTCATGCCAACCTCCGAATGCGGCATTCCGGCGAACTCGCCCACCACACGGCCAAGATTGGCAGCCACATCATCGTCAAGCGTCGTTTTGAAGACACGGTCTGGATTAGCCAGGTCCGCTTGAGCTGCTGCGATTGCCTCACTTACTGTCGGCGTTCCCAGTACCAATTTCTCAAGGACACGCGCAAACCCACACGCAAACGCCGAAGCTTTGTCAGTGTTCTGTGTGACACGGACGGCTGTGTCCACAGTCGGCAACAAAGCCGGCTGACCAGCCAAGAGAGCAACAAGAGGAGGAACCTTGCAACATCCATCCACCTGCAGGTCAATTGTTGTGTCGGAAGTGTAGTTAAGCAAACCTGTTCACCTCCGTCAGAGTCCGCTCCACCGACTAATTCCTGCAAACCAGCCTCTTCAGCCTTGCTATGCATCTACACGATGACGTCAACATGATCATGACAGTGCCCCCATGCCTGCTCATCTGAGGAACCACATTCTGACGGCTTCTTCTTCTCGACCACATACTGCTTGAGGAAGCCTTTGACGGATCCATGTCGCCATGGTCCAGACAATGGCATGCTCCACTTGCGTTCGGCCTCGATCACATTGCCATCCGCGTCAGTTGGGTTTTTCTTGAGCTCCGGCCAATTCTCAAGATCCACGGCCTCCACCTCGTAGGCACTGGCTTTGCCAAACTTGCCTTCCAAGCGAGAGGCATAGTCGTCCACATTCAACTTGCCCTCACAAGCAACCAAGGACTCAAGCAGTGCCATGGTCTGGTCCCCGTAGCAGCTGAAGCCACCGGGGGGAGGGGTGTAGAAGACGTTCCCTGGAGGATCACAGAATGCTGGTCCGCGACGAGCACTTTTGAGGTGGTCAGCAAGCTTTGTGGTGTCATAGCACCAATGACAAGGGACAGCTGCAGCATCTGCCACTAAGCCCCCAATTACAGCCCCCCTGGCCCTTGAGGCCAAGCTGGCTGCTGCCATGAGAGGATAACAAAGGATTTAAAGAGTTCAGCCTGCAAGCTGCAAACTCCAGGCACCTACGACTTGGGCAGCGAATCGCATCACCAGCACAGTGAAAACCAGGAACCAAGCAAGTCAACATGCAACGCGCACTCCCAGCGCTTCTCAGCAAAATAGGCAAACTTTCATGGAAACCCTTGGAACTGCGCCCTCCAGGCCTTCCAGGACGCCTGCCGCAAGCTTATGCGCATTTAAGTTGAAAGCATGCCCTGTGGCAATAAGCACCGGCTGTAATCTTGCAGTTTCTTGAGAACTATCGTAACAGTGCTTACAGTTACAAGTACGGCATTTCAAAAGAGCTTGACGAAGCATAAGTCCTGCTGACTAACCCTAAGCGACGGCCTTGTCCAAGTCAAGCCCGCACCGCTTCAAGGAAGATGGGCCTGTATGTCGCATAAACTGATGGCTATGGTATGGGATGGTATGGGACTCGCAGCTCAGGGCGATCTCAACCTGGAGCTTTTGTGCGAACCTCGCCTGCCTTAAAGAGTTATGTGCTTGGGAACTGCTCATCATTATCAGCAGCATCATCGTCGCCATCCTTGCCATCAGCATCACCGTCGCACGTCGCAGTCATGGCTGATGTAGCATCAAGCTCCAAAGAAGTTCCAGCTCAGGTCTTCAACAAACTGGGTAAGAGGAAACACAAACACTTGTTTCGCAATCTAACCGTGCTGAAACACATCTCCAGTCTGTACAGCACAGGGGAGCGTAAGTCGTCCTGCTCGGAATTGCGGATAAAGGAAGCCCTGCGTCTCAGAGTTTGAAGACCATACTGGCATCAAAATTACGAGTACAATGATAGCAGCAAGGTTCAGCCTCGAATGGTTCCCCTCCCGGGCTCCTGACCTGCGAAAGATTGTGAAACCCTTGTTATATAATGCAACTAGAAGCACGCTGTGTCGGCATCTACATTTGAACAAAACCGTCAGTGAGGCCAAATCTCTCCCATTGGTCCCGCTGAGCCTTGTTCGCAAGACCAAAGGCGCGCAAAGCCCAAAGCTCTGGAGAGGCCAGGACCAGGAACTGACACAGCAGCCAAGCATGGGCTTCTTTCTTGATGAACTGTATACCGTGCACGATTCAATGATAGAACGTGGCGGGGGTTTACTTGCGCAATATGGCCGTGGCCAAGAAGGCAGGTGGCGCTTCCATAGCCTCACCGAAAAACGACCAACCCCATGGAACAAATGGGTCGATCCATACCAGTAGGGTACGGAATGGATAACTTATTATCTCGCAATGACCTTCATGAGGGCATGGACTGAAGCGGCATGGAGCGCATGACAGCTCACGCAAGAAATGTATTCTCGCAGCGGGCTGCGACAACAAGATTTTGGGAAACCTCTAAATAGAGATGGACCTGGAAACGGTGGATATGTATAAATATATATATATATGTGCCGCACAATGCAAATCTGGGGCACTGCCTGCACACGACTCCACGTTGAAGTACAGAGTGTTGCCAGCTGCTTTGCGCAAAAGCTTCTTCCAGCCTCTGAAGGCCATCCACAAGCCCACATGACATATCAAGAACCAATATGCTGTGGAAAGCCCTGCAGAGCTCACGAAGCCCAGGCAGTCCCCAATGGCCTGCCGAGCCATACCGAGCCCAAACCTCTCCTCGAGTTGGACCCGGGCTTAAGGCAAGGCACGTGAGGTGTCCTCTCGAGGCATGCTGGCCACCTCTACCGCCAGGCGAGTTTTCCTGGGATTGTCTACATACTGCTCAACTCCAGTAGAACTCAGAACTTCAATTAAACATGACAACCATCCAGACTGCTGGCTTGCCCACAATGCGCGCCATTGCGCGCCATGCACCTACACCTAACAAACTCAAACACCCTTGTCGTCTGAAGCAAGCTTCGTTAGGCAAGTCCATCTGTGTATCCAAGGCGTGACGAACCCGTAGCGGAGCAAAGAGTAGTAGTTAGGATGGAAGCCTCAGCAGCAAAGCATCAGGATTGTGCGATGCTCCCACTCTGCAAAACTGATGCAACGCAGTCAGTGAGCACAACATCAACTTGAATGCCCTGAGTCCTGAAGACGCTTTCAGCAGCCCCTGCATGGTCAAGAAGCCGTACGCAACAGTGACTTCTCTCCTGCACTGAAAGGTAGGCCGCTTGCTGATGTTCCCGCAGGCAACTAGTTATCTATCAGCATGCTTCTGCCAAAATGTTGTCCAAGCAGATATCACCCAGTCGTCAGTAACAAAAAGTTGAAAATGTGGCTGACAATGCTCCATCTTCGCCCCTCCTGGTACGCACGGTGTGCTGTGAGTACAGCTGAGCAGTAAATCCAGTCGCCCGCTTCCCCATGATCACCTGGCAACGGGGCTCTCTCTCTGCTCGCAGGCCAGCCGCACAGCGAAAGTGCATGTCTGAATATCGTCAACAGAGACCGTAAACAGCTGGATGTTGAAGACCCTGCCCTGTCACACTTAAGTGATCTTATCTCAAACTTGGGAAGGCCCGGTACCATCTGTGCACCTCAACGCGGGCTGCTGACGAGTGCTCCATGTGCTGCTGAAAATCCTAAGCAGGGTGCCATAACATCCAAATGAGACGCAGAGATTTGCAACGGTTTTGAGGTCTGGCCCAGTAGATTCTCCAACAGTGCATGGAGATGCGGTACAGCGTGACTTCTTGAAGTGTACTGCGGAATAGATGCCAGAGCTCGGGCAGTGTCTACCAGTACTCGGGTCAATGCGATGACAGTCAGTTGGCAGTTGCAATGAAAGTCTGGCACCCCGCTGCCCTGCCAAGATTGCCTTGGAGAGGCCCTGCAAACGCGTGGTAGTCGAGGCACGTCGGAATTGAGAGTGATGTTGGGCTCCAAGATCTCATGGTTGGCCATATCCATTACAGGATAGAACCTGACGTCTGTCTAAGACATTTGATTCAAGTTGAAGCAAGTTGACCCTACTGCTGCGAGCATTCTGCTCTTCTCAGCGCATCCCTCCAAGAGGCGTGACGCATACAGAATCACAAGCAAGGACATAGATAGACTGCACCGAAGTGGCTACTGTAGTCGTCAAATTCCTGCTTGCCTTGCGCAAAACTGAAACCCGTTATATCTTTGAATTGAATTTGGCTGGGTAGCACTGCTCCCGCACCAGTCTCAGGTGGCAGCGTGAAGGATCGGGCAGCTACAAATGCGAAGGCTGCCTGTCAGCTCGTGGGACGAAAATCCAGGCTTTGCGGTTCGAGAAGCCTGGGGCCAGGTTCGCTGGTTGAAATTATAAATATGCTCTGGTGCAAATTCAATGACATCGGGATCTTGGAACATGATTCAATTTCTCAAGCAGTGATGACTGCACTGGCGCAGGGCTGTGCTTTTTAGTTTTTCTATCCTGGATACTGACATCCCGCAATATCCCGCATAGTGCGGTCATGGTGAAGACGATGGCAGATTACACTATGCTATTCTTTGGCAGTTGCTAGGACCCGAAAGAATGTTTGCAAAGGAAAAGCACATTCCAGAAGCCTCGTTATACCCTTTAAATAGGGTGTATGGCTCCTATCTAGGGTATACAGAGGGTAGACGGAGGATCTAGATTGACATGCACAAGTAGCTAGGGTGCGCAAGCTGCCCATCTTGGCTTTCAAGCCCGCGCAACTCTGCTCGCACTTTACGAAACAAACCCGTGAAATCTGATGTGAAATCTTGGTCCAGCCTTGATGCTTAGCATACCATCAAACACTCCGCTCTGCAGCGCCTGATATTCCTCGACTGGATGGTTGGCAGCGAGGTTGGGCGCAGCAGCTGAGAGGACGTCGTACCTTAAGAGGCTTGGGATGCGGCCGAAAACTGGACGAGGTTCTGAGTGCCACTGTCTAGATCTTTTTTGGCAGCTTCTTGGTGCACGGCACTGCTTTCTTAAAACAAGCTCGCTGGGCTTGTGCTGAGCCAGCTCTGGCCTTGGGTGTGAGGAGGGCTACAGAATGCCGGACGTTCCAAAAAACTCGTGAAAAGGGAACCCTTCTTTCTTCAGCGCCCGGAGCAGAGCCTCCCAGCAGAACACAGGAACTGCTGGAAGGCGCCGGAGAATCTCAGGACCCTGCTCAGGCTGGTGGAGGCACTTGTTTCGCACAAATTTGAGTAGATCCACGTTCCATCTTTTGTCAGTGCGGCGTTCTTCCATTTCACTGACCACTTCCTGCCAGCCATTTCGTTGCAAGCCTTGCTGCTGGCAGGCATGTCCTATAGCCTTCTCCAGTGCGCTCTCAAGGGTTTGTTTCATTTCCCACTCGTGTCTATTCATGTGCCGTTGCCGTTCTTGACAGTTGCTGTAGTAGTTGCCCAGAGCTGTCAAGAAGCTCAAGTTGTGTTCCTGCTTCCAGAAGAATGGATGAGCCTGTACCACATGGTACAAATGGCGTTGGTCTTCGAGTCTGTCTAAGTATGCCCGGCGCTCTTCATCCTGATGAGTGAGTGCACGCACCAACTGCACAAAGGCAAACCTGCGGTACTTAGGCCAGTTCGTTGGAACCAAGTCGTCAACTGCGGAGTCCCCCATCCGCCTCATGGTTGCATCCGACAGCATCATGGCCAGCATCACCCGCCCCACAGAATACAAGTCACTTGTCTTGTGCAGTTTTGACCTCAAAGCTTCTGGTGGAGTATATGGTAGGCTGGATCCTGCTGTTTCTGTGTAGAGTTCTGACTGCCCTCCGGTCATCATGCGTGATATGCCGAAGTCTGAAAGCTTGATATTTCCCCTGCAGTCCACCATGATGTTGTCTGGCTTGATGTCCCGATGGATCATGTTGGGGTTCAAGTGCTTCAAGATGTCCAGGAGATTGTGCGAAACATGGCAGATTGTATCAATGTGGTCGTCGGCATCAGGGCTTCCCCAATTAGAAATTGCCTGCTGCAGTGTTCCTTCCATCAGCTCAAGGATCACGACTTGAACTTGTTCGTGTCGGCTTCGCTTGCGCTTGCCTTTCTCTTCAAACCAG